TAAAAGTACGCGTGTAGTTTCTGAGTACATTACACGTTTTTCGGGTACACGAGAGATTTTTAAAATTCTTATGTAAGAAACAAAGAAAGAAGCAAGCGTTCGTAATCATTTCTTAGAATGATGAAAACAAGATGAATATCACCGACAAAAATATTTTATAAATAATATAAATTTACTGTGCTTCCATTGCAGTCTCATTGTAACAATATTTTCTAGAAGTTGAATATTCCGACCCATAGGCCAAATGTGTAAATATCGCGTGATTAAATTATCAAACTCGTTTCTACTGCCAATCTTTCCGCCTTCATCGCCATTTCTTATATCAAAATCCAACTGCCTGAAATTATTCAGTCGCAGTTCTGCACGAGAATATTCTCTTTGCACATCGCGTATCACGTACATCGTTCTTACCTTCAAGATTAACGTCCATTTTAATTAAACACTTCCTATATTCCTCCAAGTCTCTAACGGCTCGGATCTACGAGCTTGCGTGCTCGTCTAATCACACAGCATACATTATGCTTCATCCGATCAGATAGACAAACAGTCTCTCCGTCGTATAATTTTCATTCTTAATTAGAAATTTCCATGGCCTGATTTGACGTGATTAATCGTGAAATTCTATTTATTTAGTTAGACATTGTCGGAGCTTGGTCTCTGTTACCGAATCAATTATATACTTCGATCAATGATGCTAATCAATGATGCTTCCGTCGCGAGTTTTATTCCTCAATGGAGGCTACCTATCCACAGATTCGTTCGGAATTTTTGAACGCGTTTTTCTTTTTTTTTTTTTTTCCTTTTACCTCGTTGCGTTAGAAAGTTGAAAACGCGCCATTAACGCATCGGTGGACACTTCGAGTGCATTAATTGGACGCGTGTCGTCTACAGCGAGATGAATGGCTCGAGATAAACGAGCGATTCGAAGAAAAAATGATACGAGAGACGAAGTTTCTGGTTTTAGAAAAACCAGGTAGATAAAATTGGAGGTAGCTAGATAGAGTAGATCAGATAGATAGAATTGTTTCATCGAGAAATCTGTATGTATAATTTCAAATTAAACTATATTCTAGTTATAAAGGGTCGCGGCAATTGTTAATAAAATCTTTTGTTGATATATGAGGCGGCCAAAAGAAAGTTCAAAATTAATATTTTTCTGTAACTAGTAACTTTTATACTAGACATTTTTGTATTAATAACATTCATCTCTTCGTTATAGAGTTACAGATTATTCCGTGTTATTTGATTTTTAAACTCATTTTCAATCGCTGTACATTATCGCTTAAAAATTTGGAGCATCCTTTACTTTGTGGACGGAACAAACTTTTCTGAAAATATTCTTCTGTGGAATAAGAATTTTATAATTAACAGAAATAATACGAATAAAATATTTATTTACTTGATTGTTATTTCTTTTTTTTTTTTTTTTTTGGAAATCTTAACATGCTCCAATTTTTTAAGTGTATACATTAGTTTGTAGCAATATAAATATAAAGTATATTTATATTGTTTTTTGAGAAATAATGATATAAATATGGTTTTATCATGAATTTTAATCGAAACGAAATCTCATAAAATTATATAAAAACTCATAAAATTACAATACTTAAATAACAACAATTTAAAATTAAAGAAGATCATTTTCAAATTAAGATTACCATCGGGAACCTTTTCACAACTTAACATCTCAAAACATTTCAATTTGAAAAAAAAAAAGAAAAAAAACGAAAAGAGAAAGGAGTAGAGACGGAATACAAAAAAATGGGCAGTTTCAGAAGCTGAATTTCAATGAGAAACGAGTTCGGCGAAATGACTTTCGATCGCGAATTAATTCCGTTTTAGGCTTGTTGGAGAGAAACTCGCCGTTGGATTTGGTTAACGGATTCGGTATGCAGGTTATATCGTGGTGGATTGTACGAGGGCTCGATCGAAGCGGTATCACACAACAGGATCGCAGACGTGTATTTAAATCTCGAGAGTTTCATCGTATTCAGACTGTGACAGCGCACGGTATATTATAATTGCGTTAATTCTCCGTCAACGCGTGCGCTCTCATTACCAAGATTAACGGCCTTTTAATTGCGCTGGAAGATATTTAAGGACGAGCTTAATCGCTCTTTTCTGTCGCTATATGCTTCCCTCCTCTATTCGACCTCCACGTATGCGACAATCTCCGCGATTCCGACGTTCAAAGAAACCTGGAAAACGTATCCACGTGGAAAATCGTTGGGATTCTCATCGCGGATGAACGTGATCGTCGGCAGTTTCAAACGAGCACGCAGGTAATTAGCCTATCTTCGAGGAGGAACGAAAGAAAGAATTCTATAAGAGATCTCTCGAGCGACAAAAATTCGCGAGTCTCGAATACCGCGTGTATTGGACACCAGCGCAAATCTCGGGTTTTTACGTTCGTTGTCATTTCGAACCGG